AGGCGTTTAATATATATTAGTTTAGCTCGGTACAAAATAGACAAAATAAAATGATCTCAAATAATCTATTTAGAAAACATGTTTTACAAACTGTTAAGCATCAATATAGTTTTTTCAGTAATACACAATGACCATATTTATCACCTGCAACTTTATGAATAATTAAAGCAGATAATATAAAAATCGTCCACATTCCATCCCGCTGAAAAATAAAATTTTCTTCAATAATCATTCAAAAAAAAAAAATTTCCATACTCATAAAACTACTAAAAAAAAATATCACACTTATAAAACATACTAAAAAAAAATACCATATTCATAAAACATACTAAAAAAAAAATACCATACTCATAAAACATACTAAAAAAAAAAAATTATGGCTTCCAAATTAAGCAAAGAGGAACTCAAAAATGTAATTACTAATAGCATTAATTTATTTTGTTTTTTTAAAAAAAATTCGTAATTCGTAATTTCTAATTCATGAATTTAATTATTGTACCAGCTTTTTGACACTTTCGATACAAACGGCAATGGTAAATTATCTTATTCAGAAATCGAAAGCGTTGTACTCAGAACCTACCCACAACAATTCAATAGTAGAAAAAAAGTCATAATGCGGGCTTATCAAGATGCTGATGCTTCAAAGGTTTGTAAAATTTAAATTATTCATGTTTATTTAATGCATACATTTTTATAACATTAATTATATTCAATCAGAACGGTTACATTGAAATCGGTGAATTTGGTATTCTTCTTGATGCTCTTAACCATTATTATGAGTTATATGAAATTTTTCAGAAAGTTGATAAAGATAATGATGGGCGTATCGATTTTAATGAGTTCAAGAAAGGGCGTAAAGTCTTGAAATTAATTGAACTATCAGATGCAGAGCTTAAAATGGAATTCGAGAAAATCGATATGAATCGCGGTGGACTTATTCTCTTCGATGAAGTAAGTTATTATCATTTTCAAATGAATTCAAAATTACTTCATGTACTTGATTAATTTCTAATTGAAATTTTATATTCAGTTTTGTAATTACGCTATCAAGAGAAGCTTAGTTACACGAGTTCACTAAAGTTTTTAGTTTATCTAATAATTAAAATTGTAATGTTTCAAAACTATGTTATCATAAATAATTTTTATTTCATTGAACATTCTATTAAGCATTATGCCATCATACCATGTATCTATCATTCTTATTTAGTTGTCATTTGTCCTTATTCAGTGGCTAGTTGGCAATTTATAAATTTGTTAATAAACTACAAATTTGGATATCTTTAAAATTTTCTGTTTAATAAGAATCTAAATAAATTTATCATATTGTTTTGCACTACGAATTTTACGAAAGATTGAAGACATTTTATGTATCGTTATTTGCGTAACGCCGTCAAAAATATAAGCCTAAACAGAAACAGACGGAAAAGATAAAAAGATATGTACGTATCCTACCATAAAAAAATATATATAATAAAAAATAAACCAACAAACGATTATCTCCAAGCTATTGTTAATAGTTACGTTAACCATACGCAATCATGCGTATTTCCGCAGACGATATCTTTATGTACACTCTTTGTTCACGACCAAATTTGTCAAATAGGCAGAATATGTTTTCAGTAAATAAAGTTTGGTTTAAACATATTAGTCCGTTACAATAGTATCTAATGATATGAGATGTTAATGTTCATTGGTTTATAACTGCATTTGCATCGCAGGTTTGCATAACGTTGCCTAAATACTATTTGTGACCCAAATTTACAGGGTGTTATAAATAAATCAGGCCAACCGCCATTTTCTTAAATTTAGTGGCGCC